GGTTCCACGGTCACATAAGCCAATACCATGAATATTCTGTTTCTCTGGAGAAACCTGACCAACAGAATATTAAAATTAAGAACTCTGATCACCAAAAGTCACAATGAAGAAAGTCAAAAGACAACTCACAGAGATGTAGAAAATATTTTATATATGTATCTCCAACAAAGATTCAAATCCAGAATTCATTTTATACTACAACCTAACTTGACTTTTATCAACATAAAAAAATTTAACAAAGGGGGTGCCTGCCTGGCTTAGCTGGAAGAGCATGCAACTCTTGATCTCGGGGTTGCAAGTTCGAGCCCCACATTGGGTGTAGAGATTATTTAAATTTAAAAAAATTTTCTGAAAAAAAATTAATACAAATGAATATCAAATAAATAGACATGTAGGAAAGTAAACATCAGCTTCAGGTTTTAATTGAATTGGCATCAACTAACAATGAGAAATAAAAGTATAGCACTTCTAAAATTATGAACAAATACTAATATTTACAATATTAGTTGAAAATTATTGTAGCAAATGGCATGAACAATTCTGTTTCAAGAACCTTGAAAACTTTCATGGCTTCTGATACTATAATTTACATCTAGGCATTTATCCTAAAGTCATAATTAGACGCATGATGATATCCACTGCAGAAAAGTTTGTAACGGAGAAAACATGAAAACAACACAACTATCCAACTGTGGAGCAATAATGTATTATTGTATATCCACAGGTAAATGCAACAGTAAGTCCCATTAGTAGTGTGTGAGAATTCTCATTTTACCTCTTTTCGAAACTAGGAATTACCTCTTTAAAATTACTATAGGGAAAGAAAAGAGATTTGTTTTCACTTAACACATGCTCGCTTCGGCAGCACATATACTAAAAATGTTTTCACTTAACATTTTTTTTACTACTAAATCTGAACATCTTATAAACACATTTGTTAGCCATTGGTAATTCTTCTCTTATGACTTGTCTGTTTTTATCCTTTGGCCATTTTATCTGATGGACATTCATGTTTTATTAAGGTGTGAGACCTATTTATATGTTAGGCAGGAAAAAGAAAGTATAGAAATCTTTGTGTCTACTATATTCTCAAGTGTTAGGCTTGGTGTTTTAATAGGAGTCAACTCATTTAAAATTAAAATTCTTATTTCTCATTTCAATTTTATGAACACTATCAGAAAGGCTAAAATAGAACTCTCAAATAAGACAAGTTCAAAATAGTAAAAACTAAGTTAGACTTCTGGCATGGAAATGAAAACTTACAAAACTTTAAAGAATTAGTGTGCTTGTCTGCAGAAGCAAAACAAAATCTTTTAAATATAAAAAAGTTTTAGATAGCATTCAGGCTGACATTCAAGAAGTTTTAGTTACCATTAATTATGAAAAGGAAATCACCATTTTTTTAAGATCATTTACATATGCCTTACCATACTAGATTTAGATGCTCTCTCTATTCAGTTCTTTTAAAAAAATTGACCTCCTTCTTTTTAAATGATAGGAAAGAGATCTACTTTACAAAGACATTGCAAAAAATACATTTAAGCTTGCATAAAGGAGTCACAGTTTATAATTAAAATGTTTATTTAAAATAATGTGTGACAGCTAATTACAGGTTTAATTTTTCTGGTTTTAAGCTTAGTCTGTTGTCAATATTAACTTCATCGAATAACAGCAAATGATATAGAGGGCTCCTAACAGTTCCCCTTCCCTCTAACCCCACCCCAAGCCACGCCAAAGAAAGAACAAACAAGATACTTATTTTTTTAAATGTACCTAAACTTTACAATTTTAAGGAAATCTTAAATTTTAAGGGAAAAAAGTTATTTATTTATTTTTAATAGTTTTTTCTCTTGTGGAAGTGTTATTGGAAAGTACCACAACTGGTTGCAATGTTAAATCAAAAACACTAATGTTATACTTGGGAATTATGCAACTTTTTCAAATGAATAGTATCAGAAGAAAAGAAGACACCACATGGGATTTTTATTAATTCTTAGACAAGAAAAAAAGAAAATACTCTTAAAACTATCCGAAGCAACCCATTCTACTTTCCTGACTCACTCCCAATACCAACTCCCTTCCATTTTCCACTGTAGCCTCTGGGACACACATCTGATTATACACAAAGTCTCCTGCCCCCTGAATCTCTTCAAACTCCACCTCTGCCTGAAAGGAAACCACCACCTCACCCAGGAAACTGCTTCCCCTGCGGGCCGGCAGGAGAGAGCTACTCATTCTTCCAGACTGTTTAACTTTCTGTCCTGGCAACTCCCCTCGCCCTACTTTAAAGCTCAGAACTAATGGCAGTATCACCATCCCTCCATCTACCTATCCAACCAATGAATGTGTACTTAGTGGTTGCTATGTACCAGGCACCAGAACAGTAAATCCCACTGTTAAAGTCTAGTGAGACAAATGTCACACATCACACAGATAAAAAACTGCCGATTCTGAAAGGAGTAGGAAGCGATAAGAAAGGAGGAGGAGGATCTAGTCAGGCCAAAGTGGGGGAAAGAGTATTTCAAAAGGAAAGAAGGAATGAACTCAGTTTTCAGAGAAACCAAGTGCAACTGGGCATGGTGGGTGAGGAGGTAAGTGATAGGAGAGGGTTAGGAAGTGGGCAGAGCCGTGAGGCCATGGACCTAAGGACCAGAACATGCGAGGCCTTAAGGGTCATGTTGAGCATTTTGGGTTTGGTAGAGTTTTAAAACTTTCATTCCTTAGTACAGTGACCTACTCATCTGCCCATATCTAACCAGGATGCTTGCTCTTCAGCTCTACTCCAACCCCTTCCACATTCTAGACGGCTTCAACACCCACGCCTTCTCAGTTCCATGGCATCCTGCGCTCCAGTGACCTCCACTCCACCTCAAGCGGGCTTCTCGCTTTTTCCTTGGCCCTGACTATTCCCCTCCTGAAAATCCAGTTCCAATATTTCATTCTCAGACCATAACCTCTCACCGGTCCTACTCTTCCCTACTATGCCTGTCCCCCAACCTTTCAAATTTCTTATCTGATTAGCAAATAATCGAAAGTAATGCAATCTCATCGGAATAAGTGGAATAAAGACTATTTCCTCCATCCCTACCAAGGCATGTGGGCCTCGCAACACCTTTCTCTGTGCTTACACCAACATATGTAAACTTATTCACAAAGAGACGTTTGTTCTGATTACAAGGTGAATACATAATTCTGTGACGCTTAAGGTTAAGATAAAAATCTTATAAAAACAAAAATCATGAACAAATCTCAAGCCAGCAGATACAGATCGAATTCGTTCTTTAAGTTGCTGCACAGTAATCTATGTATAGACAACACCGCCTGTGGTCCGCCTCCATAGGGGACTTTTCGCTTGTTGTTCGCTTCAACAAACTTACTGACCCCCGAACACCTTGAAGTGGGCTCTTCAGTGCACTGAAGTGTTTCCAGTCTTGGTAGCTGAAAAGAACTGATGCTCATGACCGAAAACATCTGGGAGCAGAATGGTTTTTCACAGCCCTTCAGCTGAGGGTAGCAGGCCTCAGGCCACGAGAACCGAAGCCATCTGCCTTTCACCACCTGGTTTGCTACTGCCCAAGAAATGTGCAGGGCGGGCTGCTGGCACATACTGAGGGAACCATAACCAGGAGGAGGCAAGGGAAATTAAAACTCATATGGGGTTTGGGAAGAAAGATGGCCAGCAGAACAGAAACTCGAGATTCCTACTGTAGTAGAACCAATGGAAGAAACAGATGAGAATTTTAATGAAAATTTAATGGAATTACAGCACTAAAAAACAAAAAAACAAAACCCAATACTTTCAGGAACTAAAAAACATGATTTCTTAATTAGAAATCCAGTATCCAACAGAAAGAGAATGACTGCCCTTGAGAACCACATTAGTGGTGAGAAAAATCAGGTGGCGATACCTCACAAGATACCCTGTGACAGACCCGGAGGGAAAACGCAAGTTGTGCGGTGATCACATCCAGGAGACAAAACAAGGAGGAGGAGAGGAACATGTGGAGAGGTAGTAATTGCAGAAATAATGGAAAAAAACTTTTAGGACTCAAGAAAGTCTTGAGGCCCTGAATATCAAGGATAGAGAAAACCCTGCCAGGCTGTCAGCACCGCAGGACGAGAGCTTTCTGGGATGGTGGAGAGCTGCCCGTAGGGACACTGCTCAGAGACACCAGGGCACTGACTCTGGGCCTCCCTAATGCTGAGTTTGGTCCACACACCATAAGAGCCCACTGTCTGTCCTTCATGCTACAGTTCTTCTAGGGTCTGGCACACTTCCTCTTGTCCTTTGTCACTAGCATCTGAGTACCAACCTCAGGGCCTCCACAGTAGTCATTTCCTTCCACAGTCTATCTGAAACATTGCAGGGACTAAATCTTAATGTACAGGCACAAACACCTTGGCAAAAATTAGAAGTATAATAAAAAGAAAATATTCACAGATGAAGTAAATGCACAATTGTTACAAAAAAACCTTCACCTTTATTTATGAAATGTATGAAGGTAGTATGGTCATAGTTAAGAGCAGAGACTCTGGATGCCTGTCACTTACTAGCTCTGTGGCCTTAGGCAAGAAACCTTTCTGTGTTTTGGTTTGCTGAAAAATAAATGGAATTAATAGCATCTATTAAGTGCTACTAAGTGTAAAGATTAAATGAGTTAGTACATGTCCCACACTGGGAGCTTTGTCTGGCACATAGCAAGTCCTCAGTAAATAAAAGCGATGCTCCCACCGCTGCCACTGCTTGCAACAGGAAAACAGCACTGTATGGAGAACTTTTAGAATCAGAAGAGTTGAGTTCAAATGCCAACTTTAAAATTGAAGAGTTTTGGGTGCCTGGGTGGCTCAGTTGGTTGAGCGACTGCCTTCGGCTCGGGTCATGATCCTGGAGTCCCGGGATCGAGTCCTGCATCGGGCTCCCTGCTCAGCAGGGAGTCTGCTTCTCCCTCTGACCCTCTTCCCTCTCATGCTCTCTATTTCTCATTCTCTCTCTCTCAAATAAATAAATAAAATCTTTAAAAAAAATAAAAAAATAAAAAATAAAATTAAAGAGTTTTATACCATAGCTATGGTAGTTAATCCTTCTATGCTTACATTTTTTTCATATGTAAAACAGGAATATGAATACCTTTCTCTTTCAACATCCATCCATCTGTCTATCCACAAACAGCAGTGGAGCATCTAGGTACATACTAGCTATGGTGTAGTGGCTAGAATAGAAATAGGAATAAGGTACAGTTCTGCCCTTCAAGAGCTCAGTCTAATGAGCAATACTTAAGAACCTTAGTTTCCTTTCATCGGAGTATTTCTTAAAGCTCCCTTTGCCTTAGGAGTTGAAGAAAGGACCACAAGGGTCAAGTATGTGTTTTAGTAAAAGTACTCTGATTTAAAAAAAAAAAAAAAAGGCAACACTAATATTGTTAGCAATTATTGAGTAAACAATGTGGCCAGTTCCTGAAATTACCATATTATGCTATTTTAAGAAAAATACTATTAAGCAGTTGGGTCATTGACAAGTAGCTCCCATAGATCCTAGGGCAGTCTTAGGTCCCCCTGAGAGGGACCAGAGAAAAGAAGGATCCCACTTCTGTTCAGAGAAGAGGATAAAACGTCTTGGGGAGATGGCTCTGTTCATAGGCTGGACTGTGTAGTATACAATTTGCTTCTCTGGATGATCTTTTGAGACCTGAGGACCCTTTCAATAAACAGCCCTCAAGCCATTGTCTGCAAGGAGCTACTATTACCTGATTCCTTGCTGACAACATCAATCCCCTTTTAGAGGATCCTGCCTCTTGGCACATCGGGTAGAAGACTGGGGGCAGTAAGTTCTTAGTATCTCTTCTATGTCACCACAATAATAAAGACCTCATCCTACAACTTCTTGGTATTAACAGTGCTTATTTTGGTCATCCCAAGGGAGTCGGCCATGGAAAGGGGCGGGACAACTTGTTCCCCTTTAATCTTTTAGTTACCTCAGGGGCTTTAGAATGTCTACAGTGACAATACCAGACAATCACTAATTTAAAAAAGAGACTACAAATTCACAGGCAAGCCCAAATGCCCATTCTTTATAAAAAACAATGTATGCCAATGTGTTTTCATCTGTCACCATCAGCTGGCATTTAATAGCTATGATTTAAAATTCTATATTAAAATCCTCACAGAAATTATAATGGCATCATACTTGAAACAGTATTAATTTGACATTTGGTATCTTTAGAAAGTATGTATTATACTATTATTAACAATTAATATCCAGAATATTTTCCTTGATTTTATACATACATATATAGCACCACAAAGTAAAACAATTATATATGTTATTCAAAATCATGTATTTGGCTCATAACTGGCCTAGATTTATTACAAATTCACTTAAATGATGGTTACAGTCACAAAAAATGATTCTGGCTTTCGTGTGTGTGAAAACCATTCTAAAAATCAATATAATTTTAATAGGTATTAAACCAGAGCTAAATGAAAATTATCCAGCAAAAAGGAATACTAACATCAGTATCTTATTTTAAAGTTGCAATTGGAAAATAAACTGTATTTAAGAAAGCCTCATAAAAACTCTACTACTACCACCCATAAATTATATTATTATTTTTGTACCTAATCATGTTTTAGACTTAGAGTAAAATCCTATTGCTTATAGAAAATAAATATAACCATTTATCCAAACATTGTTACATAAGAAGTTTTAAGAAACTGTAAATAATTCTTAATACTTTCATTTTGATTCTCCGACTTTTCAAGACTATGTTGTATTTCCTTCAAACATACTTCCTGGTGTTGTGCTTTCTAAATAAAAAAAGAAATAAAGATAATCAATAATGACATTCATATCAAAGGGTAGAGTCATAATGTAAAATTTATATATACATGACTTTTAATTTTTTAAGAGAGAGAATTCTAACATCTGATATGTGCATTAACAACATATCTTAGAGCTCATTTTCCTTTAAAATCCAGCATAACTAAAGTACATACATGGTTGATCTCTACTGTCATGTAGTTTGTTGTAATACAGTCAACCCCAAATGATTACATATTTAATATGATTAACATAATAGATTTTATTTAAAACCGTCATAACTATTTTTCATTACATTTAACATGACCTATTTTAATACCAGTTTTTGCCATTTTCATATTTTATTTATTATTATTTCTTAAAGATTTTATTTATTTATTTGGCAGACAGAGACACAGCAAGAGAAGGAACACAAGCAGGGGGCGTGGGAGAGGGAGAAGCAGGCTTCCGCCGGAGCAGGGAGCCCAATGTGGGGCACCATTTTCATATTTTATACCATAAGACTTTTGCTGCCTTAAAAAGTAACAGAATTCTAGTTTTGATATGAACATTTTATTTTTAGAATCCTTTAAAAATAAAAAGAACTCTAAATATTACAGGTGTTCTTTATTTGAGGGAAAAATTAAAAGCCCAGTATACTTTTTTAAAATATTCAGTTGCATATAAATTCTCAAGTAGATCTGTTCACTGAAAATACTTCAGATAGATAGGCTGCAAATACCATCTCGCTTCCAACTGAAATGTAGGCACCTTAAGAAGAGAAATCTTTTTTTTTTCCCTCCTTCCTATCTGGTATTCAGTGACACCTGATCCCTTCTGAAACTGAGTGATATCCCCTGGGGGCAGTGGTGTGGTATGAAGCAATGTGCTAGGCTGGGCTACACAAAGTCACTGAATGAATATAGTGAATCTTTGTGGAACATCAATTTTACTCAACAGTTTGGAGGGAAAAATATTAATAAGAACACACTTCTATTGTAGGGGAGAATGTAAAATGTTCATGGATTTTAGGATAATCTATTAGACTCCAAAGACATTTCAGGCTTCAGGAAGGGCAGCCCAGGTTAAGGAGGTGAGGCCACGCTTGGGTCTGCACATTCACCCTGCCCCAGCTGAAGCACTTGGGCAGAAGATCTGAGGAAGTCTGCTTGTGGGCAGGGCACTGTGCAAGACACTGAGATAGAACCAACTATGAGACCGGCTCCTGGGGTGCTTACAACTCAGCCAGAGCTAGGACACGTATACAAAATAAATACTGACCTGCCCATGGAACTGTACCCTGGAAGGGACAGAACACACAGACTCAGCAATGTCTAAATCTTTGCTTAGAATTCTAGATTTTTACTACTGTAAAAATTATCAGGTTTAACAGAACATCACATCTTAAACTTATTTATTTTGGCAGAACTTAACCAAGCACTGCAAACATTATAGAGAAACCCAGCTCATCTTACTACTTATTTTTTCAGAAGCTTTAATGACACAGGTTTTACAGTATCTGAAATTCTGATGGTGAGGAAAAAAATTTTTAAATAAATATAAGAGATTTAGAATAAAGGGCAGACCCATGCTACATTAAAAGTGAGAAATGTTTGTTCTGATTAAATTGCCATGGAAATTTTGATGGTGATAAAATTAAATTAATATTGCATGCCAAAAATCAATTAAGTTTTGAACCTTTCAGGTTTTCAACTTTGTAGACACTTGGGAATGAAAAAATAGTTTTTGTGGCATCTGTGGCTCCCAGAAAAGGTAAAGTATCATCATTTTCTATGTCATCAAGCAGACCGTTTTCAAGTAATCTAGTCATGACTAATGCTAGCTTCCATAGTACCTTACGCCAATTGACTATTTTCATGAATATTTAGGAAAAGACATCAGAAGATTAAACACAGCCAATTTGGGATTCTCATTTCATGGCTGAGTGGCTCATAGCACCTATCTTATATGCAGATATAACAACACTGAATATTTACTTAATACAAACTCATCACTTTCTAAAGTATAATATTCATTACTCAAGACAGATATCAAAGTCTAACTCATAATAGTTTAAATAGTTTAAATTTTGTATCTTAAAAAAAATGAAAAATTCGTACCAGAAACTCCTCAGTAGATTGTTATCTGTAACTTTCATTAAGCAGTAATGTGCTGGAAAGGGCCTGATGAGACTTCGGGGAAATGTGCTAGGAGCTACCAAGGATGCAAGGTAATAATTCTTTGGCATAATCATGACATTTAAAATTTTTATGATTTATATCGTTATTTTTAATATTACCAGTAAACCAAGAGTCCTGATTCCCCTCACTTAATACTTTAACGAAACTACATGGTAAGAATGTTAAATACTAATTTATTTTTTATGAAAATACATTAAGCCATACTAATACTTACGCTGTGCATTTTGCAAACAAGTTGATTTTGTTCTTCATTTTTCTTTCTAAGTTCAGTTTCCAGATTTAATATTTTAATCTGCAAAGCCCTCTCTCTAGATGACATTTTCTCTATTTCTTCAGAAACCTGCAATTTTCATTAAAAGAATAAAATAACTAAATATACTTTCTTTAAAGTAGGATCTAAAGCCTTGACATAATTATACTCTACCTCTTTTTCTGAACAATTTAATTACAAAATGTTTAAAGATGTTCTATCCTGGGAGCCTGGGTGGCTCAGTCGTTAAGCGTCTGCCTTCGGCTCAGGTCATGATCCCAGGGTCCTGGGATTGAGTCCCACATCGGGCTCCCTGCTCGGTGGGAAGCCTGCTTCTCCCTCTCCCACTCCCCCTGCTTGTGTTCTGTCAAATAAATAAATAAAATCTTAAAAAAAAAAAAAAGATGTTCTCTCCTGAGGAAACACATATAGCATAAATATGTTTACTTCTTTTTGCAGTCAAAGTATCAGCAAAATTAGCCTGATATGGAAGAAGTATACATATTTGCACTCCTCGGTGACTTAGGTAGGTGTTTTGCTCAATACTCTATTTTTATAACCTACTGAGCCCATCTGGCATGGTGTATGTATTTACATTCACCATGGTGTCCAGAGTGGGGGTGGAGTACAGCAAGTTCTCATTCAGTGCGGACGGTAGCCTGGATGGATGAGACAGGGACAGGGCAGGGGATGTATACACTTCACTGACACACACACCAGAGACTGGTTTTTCACTCATTCACTTCCAAAGTGGTCTGAATTTGAGTTTTCTTATTTCTATGATTGCTTATTTTAGCAGAAAGTCTAGCTATGTTCATCCAACGATTCAGATATGTGGGAGCCTATTTGCAAGAATGCTGGGTTGGAGCCACAAGAATAAGAGTTGAGGCAAGGACTAATTCAGGAGCAAGGAGCTAGTGGGAAGGCCTGTCCTCTAATCACACTCCTGTAAACTCAGTTCTAAGTTATTATAAAGTAATTTACAAAGATTTCTTTCACACAAATTCCAAGGGCAATGGTGTGTAAGGGATGCTAGCAGGATCTGAAGCTGTAGGAGAAAGAGCTCTTGACAATGTCCTCAGTGTGGACAATGGTGACAAGGCAGTGATGGCACTCCTCACCTGGCAGGAACTAGAGACAGCCCCATATTCCAGTGCAGCAGGAGAGAAAGAAGGTAGACTCTGACCACTTCTGAGAAGGAATCTGAGGACACCTAGCATTTCTGAAGTCTACTCAGGCTGAACCCAAGAGAAAGTCTTTTATTTTCCTCCCAAAGGTTGATAGGGTTGAGAAATCTGGACTACATTTCTATCATCGGCAATACATTTTACTACTTAGCTTTTATTCAAGGATGTATCTTTCAAAGTAAATTTAAATTGGTTTCCCAGACTTTAAAGTATATATATACATATAAAGTATATAAGTATATATATATATTTATATACACACACATATATGGCACTTGTGATATAAAAGCCACACTTCAGGGATATCAGATTTTATCTAACTTACATGGAACTGCCAGTAACAGGCTTGAGAAAGACAAGGGTGGAAGAGAGTTTAGAGGGATTTAGATTCAAAATTTGGTATTGGACATGTTAAGTTTGAGATGCCTATGTTAAGTGGAGATGTCAAGTAGCAGAATATCTGAGTCTAGATTTCAGGAGAGAGAGAAGTCTGGGGTGGAGATATACATCTGAGAGTCATCATGTATAGACAGTCTCTTTTTAGCATCATTCAGTCTGATGAGAAAACTCATCATCCCCATTTCACTAATTAAGAAACTAGAGTTTAGAGAAGTGATTCACTCTGGGTCAGGGTGTAATGTGTCAGAGCCAGATTTCAAATCCAGTTCATCTTGGACCCCAAAGCCCACCTTAAGTCCTTTCAAGTCTATATTTTCAAGTCATTTGATAAATTTACCCATTCTTTAAGAACCTCCTGCATCGAAGACGTGAATAGACATTTCTGCAAAAAAGACATCTAAATGAACAACAGACACATGAAAAAGTGCTCAACATCACTTGGCATCAGGGAAATACAATTCAAAACCTCAATGAGATACCACCTCACACCAGTCAGAATGGCTAAAATTAACAAGTCAGGAAATGACAGATGTTGGCGGGGATGTGGAGAAAGGGGAACCCTCCTACACTGCTGGTGGGAATGCAAGCTGGTGCAGCCACTCTGGAAAACAGTATGGAGGTTCCTCAAAAAGTTGAAAATAGAGCTACCATATGACCCAGCAATTGCACTATTGGGTATTTACCCCAAAGATACAAATGTAGCAATCCAAAGGGGCACGTGCACCCCAATATTTATAGCAGCAATGTCCACAAGAGCCAAACTATGTAAAGAGCCTAGAAGTCCATTGACAAATGAATGGATAAAGAAGATGTGGTGTGTGTGTGTGTGTGTGTGTGTGTGTGTATATATATATATATATATATATATATACACAATGGAATATAATGCAGCCATCAAAGAAATGAAATCTTGTCATTTGCAACGATGTGGATGGAACTAGAGGGTATTATGCTAAGTGAAATAAGTCAATCAGAGAAAGCCAATTATCATATGATCTCACTGATACGAGGAATTTGAAAAACAAGACAGAGGATCATAGGGGAAGGGAGGGACAAACCATAAGAGACTCTTAATCTCAAGAAACAAACTGAGGGTTGCTGGAGTGGAAGGGAGTGGGAGGGATGGGGTGGCTGGGTGATAGACATTGGAGAGGGTATGTGCTATGGTGAGCGCTACGAATTGTGTAAGACTGATGAATCACAGACCTGTACCCCTGAAACAAATAATACATTATATGTTAAAAAAAAAAAAAAAAGGACCCTCCTGCATCATTTCCCATTACCCCCAAGTGAAACGAACAATGTCCTCTGGTGTACCTTGTCCCCTCCCTCTGTTGTAGCACCAACATGCTGGATGTCACTCACTTGTCTGTTCACATATTATCTTCCCCCTGGACTATGAGTGTCCTGAGAGCTAAGGCCAGGTCTGTTGGAGGAGGTTATCAAAAAGACGTGACCTCCAGGTGACCCACGAGCTGGACCTGGGCAGCTGGAAGCTCCCCACCCTCTCCCATGTCGTTGAGATATGTGTTCTGATTTCCTCCCCTGCTCCGAGAAGCCACTCCAAGTAAAGAGCCTTGAAAGGGAATGTGGTGTTGAGGCTATTTGGACTGGGTACATGACTGAACCTAGTTAAGGGCCTCTATATAAACTTTTAAGATTCTGTCAGACATAGAAATCTACTCATCTTGTGGCCATCCAAGACAATTCTTGTGTTCCCTTGCTTATTAAACCTGTCACCTTCCAACCTGGAGTGGTTTGCCTCTTTCTACAGTCGCTTCCTGCCCTCTGCATACAGGTTTCCCGTAACACCAGGGAAACTGCCAAGGAGCTTGCAGACTAACAAGGTCTTATTCATCTTTGCATCTCAAAAGCTAACAGAGTGGCTGACACACAGTGAGATTTTTATTAAATGCTAACCAAATGGATTTAACTGGAATTTAATTCTTGCGTGTACTTATGTAACAATATTGGCCAAAAGAAAAGGGAGTTGAGCTCTACAGCTCACCAGATCCTGATCAAAACCAAAATGTTCAACAATTTGCACAACTGCTTTGGTTTTATTAAAAAAAGGGGGGGGGCTCCTTCCATGTTTTCCATCTCTCCCCTCTGCCCTGCCACATCATCATTTACCTAGTGAACTAACTGCACCAGTAATATATAGCTGTTTAGCTCCAAAAGGGAAAAGTAGGTAAAAAACAGAAATGTAATTGCTCTCTTCACCCTGTCATCAGGATAAAAACAATAACTGTAGGTTTGGTAAGATGAGATATTGTCTGTTTAAAAAGACGACTCTTTGGTAAACTAATTAAAAAGTTTCTAAATAAAGGCCATCTGTACCTTTTGTCTTCCTTCTTCTAAAGCAGCTTCCAGCTGTCTGGCCAATGCTGTATATTCTGCTGATTTCTCTTTAAACTTAAGATTGCTATGCTTAAGACATTCTTCTTGGTTTGCCAGCTTCTTTTCAAGCTCTTTATTTTCCACATCCAACTGTTCTAATCTTCTTTTTACAGAAAACATATATTTTAAAATTATAGTGTGTAGAGAAAAATGTAACACCAATTTTAAGTCAATTTAATACTTACTGTTTAAGGTTTTCACACTTCAACTGAATAAGATAATTTTCCTCTTCCAGAGAAAGCTTTCTCAGAAGATTGTGATTTGCATCAACCTAAAAGGGGAAAAATAAAGTTTTCTTGGTTATTTTCTTTATAACCAACTTGCAAAGAAATCTATATATTTTATTGTTAGAATAATCATAAAAAACAAGACGTAAATATTATTACTACTACAATGAGAGACACAAAGAAATATTGCATTGTTAAAACACAAGCTCTTAAATTCCTGATTAATTTTAAAAACACTAACTGCCTCATGATAAATCATCTACTAAAAATTTTTCTGAAAGATGGCAATTAATACATTCTGAACAATGCTTTCTTGGAAAAGGACATTTATTTTATTAAGTAAATTTGAAGACTACACAGTATTAATCTCCCATTGTTGGATTTTTAGGTACTCTTATAATTTCTTGTTTTACCTAAAGATAGTGATTGATAATTGACTATCTATGAAGTTGCAACTACAAGTAAAAACCATATTTGTGAGAAACAAAATAAAATAAGCAAATCAACCAAAGACAATTTGCCAATACCAAGACAGAATATTCTTCCCATTGCTTCAAAAGCTATATTTATTTTAAGAAGCTTTGAAAATAAAATTTTTCTCATAATTTAATTAATAATTTAGGTTATCTATACAGATTTGGCATTTTCCTAGAAAAATCTCTTCTCAGAAATTTAAATTTAGCAAAATTTTGTTTGTATGTTTAAAAACAGGATGCATTTCAAAATTAAAATCCAGATTACATTTGGATGATAGGGAATTGTTCCTAAAATTGTTTTGCAAATAAACAAAAACACTTGCTACCTCCTTGCACATGCATCTTTGAAAAAACATAATTAAAGAAATATTTATTAAGCACTTACTCTGCTAGGCATTTAATTAGGAGGTGCCTATGTGGTGACTAACTGGGCACCCATGATCTCTGTTTTGATGGAGTACAAAAGTGTATGTTGGCAAAAAATAACTGAGAAGAATCCAAATGAACTCGGTGCATAATTCTAATTAAAATAAATTATAATTTTTGTAAGGTAAATTACAATAATTTAGCTTATCCTGATGTCAAAAAATATATATGTAAATATAGCATTGCTCCTTCTCTCATGCTGTTACCATGTTCTGCAATATCTAAATATAGATTTGTACAAATAAACAAAAATGAGCAATTTTAGTTACCAATTTTTCATGATAAAATACTAAAAGAATAGCTTGCAGAATATTACAGCATCTGCAATAAACTGATAAACTAATGGAGATGGGAGTTTAAAAAAAAAAAAAAATCAACCCCTGACAGGAGTGCCCTCAACTGGTGAAATCACCCCAAAGTTTCCTTTAACGTATCTAGTAGAAAGCAGAACGCCGGCGGGACACCTGGCCCTGCAGCTCGCTAACGGTGTGCGCCTGGTCTGCACATTTCCCCTTGCAGAGCTGCAGACTCTCCTGACACTCGTGAAGCCTCCCTTCCGCCGCCATCAAGGAATCGCGGACGCGCTCTAACTCCTGCAGATGAGACTCCGTCTGGCCTCTCAACTGAGTTGTAGCATTAGGGAAATAAGTGCAAAGTCACACATTCAGCATTAACATTTTTACTATCTTAAATACTAGATATGCTCATAATATACTAAGTATTTTAGGTATAATGGTTTTAAACAAAAAGATTCAACCAAATAAATATGAATAAACATTAAGTTAGACTCTGCTAACAAGAACACGTACCTCAAAAGTGGGCTGTACTCTGGCTTTCAAAAAGTTTGTTGAGTAATACAACGCTGTATGTTAATTACATTAGAATTAAAATTTTTAAAGTAGTTTTTAAAAAAGTTTGTTGAGTCAATGCATACAGTTTTATCAGCCTACAGGGGAGAATGTTTAACCTACTTAGGAGAGCAAGCTTTCTGAATCCTGTCATTTATCTTCAAGCATAGTTATTACCAGTAAAGCTGGTATGGTCGTTTGCTACTGTCCAGCCATCAAGCTAAAGTAATTGTCACTTTGTCAATCTTATAACTCAGATATTTGAATTAGAACAGGCTTGCTGCACTCATCTTAGTCCAGATTGGTGGGGTTTACGGTGTATTATGTCAAGATAGCTCATATCATCAGTCCTCAGTAGACTGTTGTTTCATCATTAATATTACTATGAGCAAGTCTCTCTAATTTTATCTACAGTCACCCTTTTTGGCCACTGCAGTGCTTCACCGTGGCAATTTTGTGGAGATGTGACAAGAAGCACCCCTAAGAAATGCTTACACGGTTAATTAAGAAAAAATAACCAGACATATGGCAGTTAGGATGTTTACAGGGAGGAAAACACAAGAGCTAGAGTCTTTCCCTGAGACAGGGAACACCTAGAGCTACTGTGCACATCTGGCACTCTTGATCACAAAAGATAAAACGAGAACAAAGCAAACCTTTGGGTCCCCAAACATCTGAGAGCCCATGAGAAAACCAGGAGACTTAACAGTGGAAAAGGAAAAGGAAAAATTTCATCTTAAAAAATGACTTTTCTGGTTTAATACCAGTTAGAAGACACTGTGACTCACGGTATCTGAAAATCACAGGCTTCTGCCCCATCAGCCTCCTGAACCAGTTTTTTAATAGACTTTTATTTACAGTGTTGCCTAGCAAAAAGAGGAGACCTTTGCGGTGGTACCTCTCATGAGAGACAGAGACCAGGACACATGAAATGCTAGACATGCTGCTAAAAATAAGTGAAAAGTAATTCTAAGAAAGTAGTAAGTTGCATGTTTGGTGGGCTATCTTTATCTCTGTTTAACCAGCAGAATGCCTGCTCTGGCTGACCTCTTCTTCACACTGTGCCTCACTCAGACTTGAGCCCAAGACGTGGGGGCAACCCAGAGACAGTCACCTTATTACACTCAGTTGGAAGTGACTGGTAACATCCCATGACCTCTCCAGCCGGGAGTCAGTGTCCTACGACTTTCACTGCTTCCTTACCAAAACAACATGAGAAGACCCAAAGAGGGATGTGGTTTCACTTAAAAAGTTAAAAATATTCACAAAAACATCATAACTTGCCAACACTGGCCTTCCCCTCATTCTGTTGCAATGGGGTGATAAAAGGGAAATGATGCTGCTTTTTTAAATACTATTTTTCTTCCAAAAAGCAACTAGCAGCGAATATTTACTTTACTTTACTTTTTAGACACAAAAGATTTAGTACCCAAAACAAAAATGTGGGATTAAAAAGGAGAAATATTCAAATTTGCATACTTGTAGCTGATGAAGCCGGTGATAAGTGATAACCATTTTTTTTTGAGATATGTGAGTCTGCTCTTGTATTAGAAAAATTAAACACTTATGCTATTTTCCAAATATTAAGGAAAAAGTAAAAAAATTCATACAAACAAACATTTCAAGCCTGGAGGAAACATTATCTCCCTAGAAAACAAACTCTTACAGAGATTTAAGACAGATAATTCCTAGGTCAAAACTAGAGAAAATGACCACAATAAAAGAATATGTACAATATTTATAAAGTATAAAACAAATATTATTTTATTGTTTAAAACATCAAACTCACCTTCTCTAATTTTTTATTTTTGTTTTTTGTAATTAGGTTATTTTCACGTAGCAAATTTTCACATCTGCTTTTCACCATTTCAGCTGCTTCTTGCAATTTTTGTATCTGAAAATAAAATATATTATTAGAGTATGATATTTTATTAAGACCGTAAAGTAAATTAAAAAACTAAACATCTGAATTTTTAATTTTAAACAAATCGTTATTTCCCTATTTTAATATAAAAATCGCTCAGTACTCTACTCCAATCCACAATCCTTTTATGATTTACCTGTCTTTTCCCATCAATATTTCTAGACCCTCCCCTTGAGTCTGAATATTAGAGAGATCTTTATTTGCAGGTCAAGATCACCTTAAAGAATAAAAAAAAAAAATCTGAAGACTAAGGAGTAACTGAAATATGCTGAAATGTATGTCCACATGCAGATTTGGGAAAAGTCACATTTATTATAACAAAATAAAATACATTTTTGTTTTCTTAAAAAAAAAAATCAATCTCTAGTCCAAACTAGCTCCCATACCAATTATTTTACACTTAAAACCAATGCTCAAAAAAAAAAAAAAAAAAAAAATCTGAGGCCTTTATACAAAGCCCAGAGCCTAGAACATGCACATTATTCTTGCTGGTCTTCAAACACCTAGCTGGACGACCCAGCTGACATTCTCAGTGATAGGCCCACAGTCCACCACAACCTCCATCCTACCTCTGGTAAGTTCCACATGACTGCAGGATTCTAACTAGATGTCTTGACTCCATCTTTCCATCTTAACCATCCAGATGAACTTCCTTCCTACTTATCAACAGGATGCCCTCCTTAAGCTTTTATCTTTAGTTCATTATTCTTTAATGCAAATGCTCTCTTTTCCAGTAAAATCCAGCTCTTTATTGACCAGTTTATTACCATCGTTAAGGACCCGCATCTCGTAAAGTTTTTCTTGAATACTACAAAGTTTCCAAAACATAAGGTTTTCTATAAACTGCCACTGAACACAGCTCTATTCCATATATATTTTCACAATTCTTATCCAGGTCTTTCATGTGCATAAGTCAGAATTTTATTTTATTTATTGGGAAAGAGGGAGTGCTGAGTTTTAATGACCCTAAAAGGGAGTTATTATTCTAAATCAATGCCATTAAATATCTAAGATGAAAATATACTAAGTTTAACAATATTATTCATAAGATTTATATTACACCTACATAATTAACTTTAGATCTACTTTTAGGAATAGCCAATACATACACAGTCAATGTTTGAATCGGGAATCAGCAGAATCATCTACTTATAAAAATATGTGGGACCTTAAGAAATATATGCAACATATATTCTATCATATACTAATAGCTCTACCTTTCTTCAATTCTGCTTATTTAGATCATAAAAAAATAGTGTTTTAAATTGCCTACAAAATTTAACATTAAAATCAGTGCAATAATCACCTGAGTTTTATATACTTCAATAAGGGTCTTCTGTTGTTTTTCTACTTCTTGCAATTCTAAAAGTTCATTTTCAACAGAAACCACCTCATCCTTCAAAGCATCAAGTGTAGTCTAGCAAGGAAAATATAAATAGATTTATAAATCATTAGAATTCATTTATACTCCAGTGCTAGGATTATAAAAATATAACTCATTTATCGAAAGGTTAATAATCACTGTTACTGCATATAATTACCACTTCAATTTAAGAATTTTCAAAAGTCAGTAATATTCATGAGTAACTATAAGACTTATATGTAAGATATATTTTTTAAATTTTTCTAAAACTTTTAAAATACCATGTTCTTAGATGGAAAGACTCATACTATTTGACATACCAGTTTTTTCCAAATGGGTAACACTTTAAATGCAATTTCAATCAAAAGCATAATAGTTGGGAGGAGGGGGAATATGACAAAATTAATTTTAAAACTCATACGGAAAAATAAATGGGAAAGACTAATATAATTCTGAAAGGAATATTAAGGTAGAGAATCTCAGTACTTATTAGATATTAAGATGTATAAAGAACTAAAAATTTCAAGATACCAATGTAAGAATATAGAGGTCAATGGAACAGAAACAGAAAAATACACTAAAGTTATATTTAGTATATGATGAAGATTGAATTTTTAAATCAATGAGGAAAATATGGATCACTAAATAATGGTAATAAGACAATTGTTTAACTATTAGAAAGAAAAAATAGATGAACTACTTGCCCCAACATTATTTTTTATATTTATTTATATTTTAAAAATAAAGTTTTTAAAATTTTTCACAGAAGATACAGCTAAAATTTTGATTTTAGGGTAGCAAAACCCCTACTAAGCATAAAATCAGAAGAAGATATCAAGTACTGTAAGGGTTTGGGATTTTACCCTCCAACTTGACAAGTGAGCCTGGAACAGTTTCATGCATGTTAGCAGAAGACGTTGAGACTCCTGGGTCAGAGACACAAAACTTGATTACAGCAAGAGCGGTAGCCAGATGTCAGATTTGCATTTGTCTCCCAAGCCCCGGTTCCCCCAGGGCGACACAATGAGGGCCAGATGACACCTGCACACGCAGTGGGATGCACTGCAGAGGAGCAACCCCAAGTTTAGGGAACCCAGATCTCTCCTAACAGGCAGTAAGCACGTCTACCCTTTGGTAAGAAAACATGGCTATCTTCCAAGGATGCTCACTATACATCCTTGAGAAGATAGTCTGGATTGCAGGCAGTCAGTGCTTCTACTTATAAGATACGCAGAAATGCGACAGACTTAACAGAAGCCATAAAAGAAAAAAAAAAATGTATCGATACATGTGTGTAAATATATCTCTCTAAATTTCATTGCCCCCTCAAAAAATTTAAGAGGCAAATAAAATGTAAAAGAGAGTAACAAATTATGACAAAAGATTAATACCCTTAGTACAGGGTTCTTACATATTAATTAGAAAAAAAGACATATAAAGGATAATGAATAGGTAATTCATAAAGGCAGAAATGTACACAATCAATAAATACATGAAAAAACATTTACTAGTTATTGAAAAATGCTCTAGACACTGGATATTCTTTTATTAATGAATGAAAGAACCAAAATATCCCTTCCTTCATGGGGCTTATGTACTCCACATATAGACAGACACAAAGGGGATGGATTAACAAAAAACAAGAATATGAAGTAAAACATATCATACACAAAAGCAGGATAGGAATGACATGTTGGGGACGGGCCAGGGAGGCCTCCGGAGAAAGGGATCTCTGAGCAAACACTGAAAGGAAGTGTGGCTCTTTGAGGGAAGAGAATTCCCACAGAGAAAGGCAACTGTGGGACAAGCCCTGGCCAGTTAGGGGAAAAATAGCAAGGCTAATGTGGCAGGAAGGGAGAAAACAAAGGGGAGAATGGAAGGAGATGAGGTCAGAGAAGTACTGGAAAGCCAGATGGAATAATGCTTTGTAAGTGTTTATTAACCAGATATGATTGGAGGGTTTTGGGTGGAGCAGTGACATGGTCTGACTTACATTTGTATGGGAACTACGTTATGCTGCACTGAAAGCTGACTGCAGCGGCAAGGGTGGACGCAAAGGGGGGTCAGGAAGTCACCGCAACTATGAGAGATGATGGTGGCTTAAACCAAGACAACAGCAGTGGTGCTGGGGAGAGGTGGTCAAATCCTGCATTTATGTGAAGGAGATCTGTTGACAGACTGGAAGCAGGTGGGAGAGAAAGGAGTCAAGGATGACACCAGATGAAAGGACAGACAATTGTTGTTAACTGAGATGCGGACAACTGTAGGATGAGCCATTTAGGAGAATACAGGAGCTCTATTTTAAACATGCTAACTTTGAGACACCTGCTAAATATCCAAGTGGAGATTTCGAGTAGGCAATAGAAGATATGTCCGGAATTCAGGGGCAAGGTCTAGGCTAGAGATACAAATTTGAGAGCCCCCTCCTAGGATATAGATGGTACTTAAAGCCCCAACACTAGATGAGATCACCTAGCAAATTTGGAGAGATTTGTTTTAAAATTGTCTAAGTACTGGGAAAAATATAGTGACCCATCTGATGGGTAATTTGGAAATATATAACACCAAAAATGAGCCTCCCTTTTGACCATATAATTACAATCCTAGAAATTTATCCTAAGAAAACAGGCAAAAAGACTCAAAGAAACTACCCACATTATTTATAGTAGCAAAACATTGGAACTAGTCCAAAATCCCCAAAACTATATGCTAAAATGGTAACTTTAGTTTCTTTGAGTTGTGAGATTACAAGTGATTTTTAAATTTTTCCCTTTATGCTTTTCTGGTTTTTTTCAGCTCTTTATAATGAACAAATAGAACTTACAACCATCCAAATAAACTCTTGCAATTTCAAGAGAAGAGGTCACTGGGTCTTGGAAGCATTATCAGCTAGATTCTTTTTTCATTTGAAATGTTAAAATCTAAAATTATTCTAAAGTCATTAAAAGTAACAAAATACATCTAGGCAATTTTACATTACAGAAACATATGCCAAATACACCTAGCTTTTTTTCCTTAAACAAAAATCCCAAAGAATAATACATTAAAAATACATGTTTCTGAATTATTAACAGAATATAAGATGTAAACTTTAACCCAATGATTCTCATACTATGTAATTTAAAATTAATTCTACTTACCATTTGATTAAAAATTAGATTTATAATTGATGAAATATCTTAATCCTTTCTCTCTGAAGGTTATCAAGGAAATTAAGAAAATAAACATAATAAAATTGCTTCCTCTTCCAAGAAAAACATTTTAAGCATTCATTCAATAAATATTCATGGAGGCTAAGTGTATGTCACATCTTCCCTAGGCATTCTGGGCATATAAAGATGGGAGTTTATAAGGAGAGACTCAATCTAATTGAAAAGACTTTGGGGAGGAGGTAGCACTTGAGCTGAACTAAGGTAGGTCTTAGGTATTAGGGAAAATGATTCCAAACTGTAAATATAGTAAAACTACAGGAAGAGATACAGGAAAACATGAACAAATTACAGGAAATAATGAGTATTCATATTTGGCTAGAGCCCAGGATAACTAGAAGACTACATTCCCTAGTTTCCCTTGCACCTAGTTGGGGCCATGTGCCTGAATAAGTAGAAGAGTAGAGTGGTATGGAACTTACAGGAAGTGTCCCTAAGGGGAGTTATGGGTTATAACTCATCTGTTCCCCCGGGCAATCTCCAGCAATCATTTTGGATCATGAGGGTCATAACCTAGGAATGGCAGAAGACAGAGCTAAAAAGAGGGTTGGTTCTCTGATGCCATATCTGCTTTGAACTGCCAACTCTGGCCTTTTTACATAGATTCTTTTCTGTGTTCTATTTACGATCCTCCAAAAATAGTATTAGAGAACTGAAAATGATGCTGTCATCTTTTTTTTTTTTAAGATTTTACTTATTTGAGAGAGAGAGAGAGGGAGACACAGAGGGAGAGTGAGAAGGAGAAGCAGACTCCCCGCTGAGCAGGGAGTCTGACGCAGGGCTCCATCCCAGGACCCCGGGATCATGACCTGAGCTGAAGGCAGATGCCTAACTGACTGGGCCACCCAGGCACCCTGATGCAGTCATCTTTAATCAAGTCTCATCTGGTTACTTGTATCTCTAAATGAGAAATCAATTTTTTTTTCTCAGAAAGTATAAAAACTTCTTCCCCATTTTTTTCTCTGGTACACATACAAACCAATCACCCCTTGGATTTGATTAAGTTGGAAAATTCTTTCTGGTTATGAAGCAGCCAGGAACATACTTTCTGGTTTCAAACAGACCAGGCCTTAGGTATAGCCTATCGTAACCATGACACCTAGAAAAAAATCTTACGCATTAAAGTTAATGTAATTTTGGATGATTCAACAGCTAAAACTGAAGAATAAAAGTTTTTAGAAGTCGAGACAGTTACTCAACCTTATAAATCTTATTTAATATTGCTGTAAACAACTTTAACATATATCTGTGTATACAACTATAAACACTTAAAAATCTATATGCAAATATGTGTCTATAATGTGTATACATAGATATATAAATATGGATATATATGTAGCTTTAGAAGTTGCATATTATAATGATCTTCTAATACCCTTACAAACATAAAGGTCAAAATGACACAAGAGCACTATCCTAATCATGCAACCATTCCAGCTACTTCTACTAAGTTGTCATTAGACAATATACTCACATACACACATGAACACACATTAACTTTAAAAAAAAAAAAAGATTTTATTTTTAAGTAATCTCTACACCCAATATGGAGCTCAAACTCACAACCCTGAGATCAAGAGCTGCATGCTCCACCAACTGAGCCAGCCATCACCCCAGGACACACATTACCTTTAATTTTGTATTCTCAAGATTCAGGGTTTCATTTTCATATTCAATTGAGTGAAGTTTTCTAAGAATTTCTTCACATGAATTTTTTCCAACGTCTTCCATTTTCTTCAGGTCTTCCAAAAGATTCGTAACTTGCCTTTATGAGATAAATGATATATTTTATAAAAGTCATAGAAATTTTCACTCAAATAATACTTTTTAAGTGTGCTTCTGAAATTATGTTGGTAGGGTATGTGGTTTTAAAGTTAGCAGAAGTCACAAGAACAAAATGAACAGGAAGCAGTTATCTGCCAGGCTACTACCTGCAAAACCTTGATTAGCAATATTTACTCACTGAGGATGCCAATGAAAAATTGTACACCATTCCCTTTGCTATTCAGTAAAATATCTGAACTATTATCTCAGTGGCCGTCTGTCTCTCATTCACACACATGCGCATATGTACACACAATCTCAAGGCCAAGGTTAAATAAAAGGATCAAGTGAGGCAATAACTCACCTCTAGAAGAGAATTATGCATGCTAGTTTACAATGATAAAACTGAAGAGAATATACAGAAAATAAAACATTTAAAAACAAATGTGCAGGGTTCATTACTATTAGTTTATCAGTAATAAATTTCAAAGCATAAAAGATAAGCATTTTTACTCATTGATTTTCTTTGTTATGCAATTAAGGCACTTTAAGGAAAAAAATTTTTAGGATTTGAAAGCATTTGTGCTGTTATTGTAAGCTCTGTTATATATTCTTACTTACACATTCTTGTTTGGTAGAGAACTATCACTTCCATTTTAAGACAAAGTAGTGTTAACATTTAACTGCAAATAATAGATGACACATACCCAATTCCAAATACTAACCTACAAAATTCAAAATGTGAACACCAATGCACTTTTTAGTGGGTAATCATTTTATCGTATTTTTAGAATAGAATAAGAAAAGTCTTTAAATTATAAATAGCAAAAATATCGAATCATATGGACAACCTTTAGCACATGTAATCCAGAAGAACCAAAATGCAAACTGCTTAAAGAGGAAGGAACTGAAAACACTTCTTATTAACCCGTACAAAGATTCTAAATTTTTTTCTTACTTTTGCATTGTTTCAATCTGAACTTCCAATTCAGTTTTTTCTATTACAATTTTCTCATAATGACTTTTCCAGGCATTGGAAGCTGAAATTGTTTCAGACAGCTTGGCTTCCTAAAAAATACATCAAGTACTCATCTTATAATTGAATAACCCTTTGGTTTTGTGCAGGGCTCTAAACACAAATACAATATAAATAAGGAAACATCCTATAAGGGATGGAATTTTCAATATGGAAAATTTTAGTGTACAACTCTGAATATAGGAAACTTTTAAAGTAAATGTTGATAATATCTTTATAGTAGTATTGCTTTAATGGGCATAGTGGCAGTTCCAACACTACATTTTAAGGATGTTGATATAACTATTTTCAAACAATGTTTCATAATTAATGAAGATAACTTCCTTCCTATTTCTTGAGCTTTTCATTTTGCATTCTATATATAGAAGATGATAAAAACCACATAAACATCAGAGGAGAAAGAAGCCCCTTATTGATATATATAGAAGCTATCTGCAATTCCATAATTCCATAGCATTTAATAATGCAGCCTTTTTTATTGTTGCTATAATGATGTCAAGCTGTTTTGTAGAGGTCACCCCCATTGACTTTCAAACACTGTCAACAAAGACATGAAAACTATAGTAGTGGCTTGTCGACTTTGAATGTGAGCTCCTCGAGGTAGAGATTTTTGTCTGTTTTGTTCATTGCTAGGGCCTTGAAAGTGCCTGGCATACAGAAGATGCTCAATAAATAACTGTCAAATGAATTTACTCTTTACAAACCCACCTAGTGAGCTATAGTCATTGTGTCCCCTGTCTACATTCTACAGGATGACAAACTCACTGGGAGGACAATAACAGTAATTTTTAATCAGAAGACCCAGAAGTAATAATGATAGCAGACAGTATTTATTGGGGGCTTCTTTCTTTCCTTCTATCATTCATCCAGTCACAGAACAAGTATTTATTTAGCATCTACTATATGCAAGACTTTTTTGGCTTATACTTTTTTACAGTAATGATGTTGATACGTTGAATAAAGCCTAGTATTCTGTTTTCATATTTTATGTAAAATGAATTTTTATTTGCATAATGAAGTATATAAGTTGGGATATATATATACATATATATATGAAGTGTAAGTTAGGCAATATACTATAATGTAAAGATACTCAGAAATTTTATCTATAAAATAAATGCTATGAAGGGAATTCAAGATATAATATGACTGTTGTGGGACTACTTCAAAAGGAGTGGTCAAGGAAGGCCCCTTGAAGAGATGACAATTAAAAAGATACCCAAATAATCAAAAAAGAACCAGCTATTGTGAATCCAAGTACATTACAGCCAGAGATAATAGCAAACAATAAAACTCTACTCATTAGAGGAATAGAAAGGAGGCCAATATGGCAAAAATGTACGATGGCCATGCACTGTGCTTTGATATATATTTCCTCATTTAGTCCTCTCTACAATCATATGAGATAGGAATATTATTATATCCTATTTTATAGATGAGGAAACAATCTTAGAGAGGTTAAGTACCTCACCCAAAGTCACAAGATGAACAAACAGAAGAGCCTTCCTATACCATGATCCGGGGTATGCGTGACACGATGCTATCTAAACAGGAAAATCCCGAGAATGTTAATGGCTTGATTAGCTTTCACCACTCAAGAATATTTTCAGGCATTCAACTCAGTCTAATGACCTTCTAGATTTTGAACTTAGTCCTTAATTCTTTTTGTCTAGTTAGATTCTTCTGAATGTCGTTCATCTTTAAGTGTTAACACTCGAGCTTATAAAATATCAAGTTGTTTTCTTTACACAAGGAAGTTTATGCAAGTCCACTTTCATTTCTAAAAGCCTCTAATAATTCTATAAGTCTTAACATCAGTTCTTAAGAGGTGGAATACCCATGAGACATTAAAAAGAGTAAATATTTTATCAATTGCTAATTGAATAAATACAATAATTCATCAAAAACAACAAAGCACTAAGTCCAGTTTTCAACTTTGTACTACACCCAAAGATAACTTTCACATGGTGTGTTTACGTCAGTGAATGGCTTTAAGTGCATTACAGAGTTCAAATGAAGTGAATTACTGAATACAGTCATATGGTCTAATAACATAAATCAGCATTTCCCAAACTGGTGTTCCTTAGAACCAGTTCCAAGAGTTGTTTTGTGGGTAAAACAAGAGTTCTGTGGTTAAATAAGTGGTGAGAAACTCTGAGTTCAAAACTCTTCATTATGCTGTTTTACTTTTCCTACTCAGGGCCTTTAATATGCTAATGTACACTGTCCATTTCCAAGGGGGAATATGTATGAAGTGCTACCCTTAGCTTGCCATAGATGCACTGGGACACTTTTAATATATCCTTTAATAAAGTTCCCAAGGAAATACTGATATAATTCAATATGCAAATGTGGCATTTTCTATAACCTTTCAAAACAGACTAAAGCAAAAGAGTGTGAGTAAAGTTTTCCTAGTATCAGTAGCACTAAGAGAAGATTATTATATTAAGCAATATGACATTAACTACATAACCTAAGGACAAAGGACAGTTAAGGAAGAATGTATAAACTTACCTGATCTCTAATTTGGGAGGTAAGGTTTTCCACGTCTCCAGTAAAGTATTTAAGCCTTTGTCTGTAAATTTTAGATGCCTTTTTTAGAGCTATAGTTTTTTGTTTGCTTGATTCTTTCATTGCCACAGCTTCATGCTTGTTCTTTCTCAGTTGTAAGTTCCATTCAGTTATCTTGGTTTCCAAGCTCTAAAAAAATATTAGTAGTACTTAAATTATTTTAGAACTCCAACGTTTATGTCAACATTGTAAAAATATGTAAATAATCTTCCATAGATTTTATCAAAAGGATTAATCACAGGATTAATAAAAAGCAAAACAGTAAAGAAAGGTGGTTTCACCAATGTTTATTTGTAACATTATAGAATACAAATTTAAAATATATAAGCCTACATAAAATTAATCCTACTCTTATTAAAGATACTAATATTGGTGATTACAGTACATTTTTTAAACTTTTGTAATTAACTATAACTTGTTAAAATTTCACATCTAGAATATTATACATAGTACTAGTTACTGAAAATCAAAAAACCATAATTGAGCTGGAGACAATTCAAACAAATTACACAAAGCTCAAAAGAATCAGTAGCTCCCTACATATGTCAGGACTTTTCAGTTGAAATGATAAAGGCTTAAAGGACATTAGATCAAAATCTATAGATCACAAAAAAGGTAGATGAGATAGACTTATTTTGCAAATTTTAATTTACTAGAATTAAGGGGCATGCCTTGACATTTATAAGAGTTACATCAAGGGGAGTAAGAGTACTACTTTATCCAATGAGTAGTAACCTTATGGAAGTTACTGTTCCAAGACTGAAGAGGCTTAGATGGATAACTATCAGATCCACAACAGTAACGGTGAAAAGATGTTAAGGGGCATGTTTCTATCCATTGAATTTGATGGTGTTAATTGGCATGACTCTTTCCTTACATAACTAGAGACAGAATAATAGGCTGGGTGGATGACAGATATGATTTAGTGTGGTAACTCTCATGCTTTTATTTCAAATTATTTTAAGACTTTGTATTTAAAGTATTTGACTACTAAATATCTAAGAATTTAGAGACCTAAGATTTTAATGCTTTTACATTTTTTGAAAGTTGTGTAATACTAAAAAAAATTATTACAGAATTTAGGTTTTAGTTTAACATTTCTTAGACAATCATTTTAATAAAAAAAAATCAAAGGAGTCAAAGTAAAAGATTGGGTTTTCTATTCAGCTCCATGATCAATAAAAACTATGCTTCTTAACTTCCACTAGAGTTTAGATTAAGAAGTACATATTAAATAAGATTTAAAGACTAGCCCTCTTTGAAAAGTGAACTCGGTAGATTAAGACAAGCAGCAAAATACTGTTAAACAGGGGCGCCTGGGTGGCTCAGTCGGTTAAGTGTCTGCCCTCGGCTCAGGTCATTATCCCAGGGTCCTGGGATGGAGTCCCACATCAGGCCCCCTGCTCGGCGGGAAGCCTTCTTCTCCCTCTCCCTACTGCTCCCCCTGCTCGTGTTCCCTCTCGCTGTCTCTGACAAATAAATAAAATCTTAAAAAAAAATACTGTTAAATAGTCTCTAGAAGTCTACTTAACCTAAAAAAATTATTAAATTAAATTATTTAAATTATTATTAAATTATTTAAATTATTAAAATTAAAATATGAAATGTTTTAATAAGTAGTTGGGGGAAAACAAGTATGAGTAAGAGCAGTACAAGTCTACTTAAGAGAACAGACTCCACAGGAAATACAGCTGCCATTCCTCTAGGAAACCACAGGGTGTCATCAGCACACCATGAATAATTGCTACACTTTGCTAAAGCAATTTAAACACCAAGGTGAAATAAATCCCTTGGCACAAGATTCCAGTCAGGACTTCCTCACTAGATTTATCCTATCCCACATTTGAGCACTATTGGGAAGTATACTAAACTATGAAATTATTTTTATGGTTTCGAAATAAATGACTCTTTGCAGTCTTTTGACAAATGAATGTACATTTAAAGTCAACTATTCACCTTTCCCTATTTCCAAGGAGCTCTACATGCTGCATATTATAAAGACAATTATTCTGTTTCTTCTAAATTATGAAAATATTTATTCCTAATTGCTATATTATAAAGATCTAGAAAGAAAAAATGGGTTAAAGTATCTTTGGAATATTTCTCAGAGAACTAAAATGTAAATTTTTCAAGACCTATTAAAATGAATTGACTCACTGGAGTCAAAACTAAAATATTAAATGAGATTTATGTTGCCGAACTGAGTTCATTATCTTTGTACTCCAAAAAGAACCTTGTGAAACATAAATCAAAGAACTAAATTCCGCCCCCCCCATACCTTAATGTCTTAAATTCCAAAATTGCATGTTACGAGGGTAGAAAGATCAGTAACCTAATGCAACTTCTTGTAATTATTTCTAAACAGTAGGGTTTTTGTAAAGGAATTTAAACTTAAAGTATTAGAAGAATGTCATGGCAAAATCTTAAGATTTTAGTCTTATATTCTCTAAATTATCATGAAAATTGTTAAAATTAACTTTAAAATATCACTTAATATTTCATTTTTAAACTGAAGGAAATGTTTTCAAAAATTTCCCAACTGCTATTTGAGGACATAACTAAAACTTGTGTAAATTGTGATAGATGATTATCTGAGGTGTTAAATCACATGTATTCTATTGTATTTACCATGACAGGCTAATGCAATATCAACTCTAGTTCATCTGTAATGCCCTAGGACTCCCATGCAAACGACACAGGGAACCCATGGAGGAAAGTGCTTAAAAAGCACAGGTAGGAGGACAAAGGACAAAATTTACATTCCGCATAAGCCTGCTTAATGTCCCCTTACTGGGCAAAAGCTTTTCATCCTTGAAGAAAAACAAAGACCAAAATACCCCAAGCACAGTCTTGAAGCATGCCACAGGTTGCAAACATCTGCCATGATTCAGGAGTGCAAAAGCAAACAGAAATTTAACACCAATGTCCTCACACTCCAGGGGGGTTATCATTGTACACTTCTCTTCTCCAAGTGAGAACACTGCTTCTTTTCCTTTGGCAAAAATAATGACAATAGATCCACTTAGCTTGTGTCATGTCATAGCGACCTCAGGTTCTTATTTCAAAGTGCCTGTGAGGCTTCCAGAAGAGTATTAAAACCACTGAGTTTAAATGAAAATATTCCCCTTAATGACACTGCTAAAAAAAAACTGCATGACAAGAATGTTACTCAGTTTTCTAAACACCAAAGCTAAGTAAATGATTTTAAAGTTGTTACCATTAGTGACAAACACAAAAAACAATAAAGCATTTACTGACTGCCTACTAAATGTGAGTATGTATTTATGTGTAGATGTAGAATAGACAGGAATACTATATCCCAAAATATTAATAATGGTTTCAGTATTTTTAAATTATTTTCATTTTGGGGGCACCTGGGTGGCTCAGTTGGTTAAGTGACTGCCTTCAGCTCATGATCCTGGAGCCCTGGGATCGAGTCCCGCATCGGGCTCCCTGCTCAGCAGGGAGTCTGCTTCTCTCTCTGACCCTCTTCCCTCTCGTGCTCTCTATCTCTCATTCTCTCTCTCTCAAATAAAATAAATAAAATCTTAAAAAAAAAATTATTTTCATTTTTTCCTTTGTATTTTACAAATTTTCCAAAATAAACATAAATTAACTATATAATGGGAAAGATTTTTTTTTTTAATTCAAGCTCTATAAATCCTTCCTAGACTGGTATTAAAGAGAGAGAGCATTTCTATCTTGGGATTTAGAACCAAATCTTTAGATGAGCCAGAAATCTTTAAGATCTGCCTCAAATATGTATTTCCTATGGCAACACTTAAATTGAAATCTTCCAAAACCACCAAATTCCAGAACTAAGGAAGGGCTTTATAGTTGTTCATTAATTTTATCACTTAAACTATAAAAATGACTGAATATTTATAACCTTTATGTATTCTTTTAATTTATCATTCTCTGCCTCCTTTTTATGAATTTGGAACTGTAGTCGTTCATGTACTACTTTTACTGATTGTGAAAAACGGTCTGCTTTCAAAGCATTTGCCTGTAACAGAGAAAACAAAAAAAATGTGTTATTTGATATATTTCCCCACAATCTTTAACTTTATCCATATTTAGACATGATCTAAAAAGTTGATAAAAAGCAAAGCACCACTTTACATTAACCATGACCCCCCCATTATAAATTGTATATAAAACTATGGGGCTATTTTCCCCTCCCCCCTTTTATTTAATGGCTCCTGGTAATCTCCTTTTAAAAATTCCTACCTATCCTAAGTAAATTATATCTAAAATGCTCCTATAAACACTAAAATTCCTTAATTTATACTAAAATTGAAATACAAATTTATTCATAGTTCCTAATATATAGTGATTTATGCAATTACCCTGACTTAAATACCATAAAAATCTTTTAAAAAGAAACTAAAAAAACTTGTAAAATATCCAAATAATGTAAAAACACTTCTGTGTCTATTTCTGAGGATATGGGAGTCAGGATGGAAAGAAGGAAAAGAGGGAGTCAATATTAAGAAAATATGATGCATTAAGCTCAAAATTTGCTTACCTTTTCATTCTGAAACAAACAAGAAAGTTCTTGAATATAGGTCTCCTTTTCAAGTACCTTCTTCTTAAGATTCTTCAGCAAATATAATGTAAGAGTTAGAAATATCACAATTTGGATAATGTTGGCTAATTTTATAAAACCAAGCATCATATAAATAAAAAATGTCAGAGTAGACACAAAGTATAAAAAGACTTACAGTATTTTCACTTTCATTATCAGTTAGCTTCTCTAACATGCTGGATAAACTGTCCCCTACCTATGAAAAAAAGATATTATAAATCAGTATTGACATAGTTCTCTCTATATAAAAGTAGGAAGAGGAATAAGCATCACTTAAGAAATTAATATGGACAACTATCATGCACAGTTCAGATTTTTAAAAAGGTCATCAGATGGATTTTTGCCTAAGTGTTCCAAATCATCTTTTGTCCACAGTTTATGAAATTATATACTAATTTCTAAATAACACCTCAGACAACACAAGCCAATGACACAAAAACCACAAAAATCTTGTATACAAAGGAAGCTCACCGTGCTTATAAATAGGTAAAAAATAAAAACAACCTTAATTTTAGCAAGTAAGATTATTTTTAAAGAATCACAGCACATTAGTAAAAGAATTCTATGTAGATATTTTAAATGAGAACATAGAAAAATGTTTATTCATCTTGAGGGTCACACTCCTGCTTGAGAATGTGAAAAGCTATGAATTCCTTTCACCCAAAAGTACTGTGCCATGTACATCTCATGCAAAATTGCACACACAATTTCATGGACTGCATGAAGCCCACTCTTGGGACTCTGTAGAAGGACACAGTGAAATTGCTTGGCATACAACTATTTTCATTTCTCTTGGATATAAACAACTTGTAAATAAATGTTCACAGCAGCTTTATGCATAACAGCCAAAAACTGAAGAAACCTAAATATCCATCAACTGAGGAATGGACAAATAAAAATGGAATAGCCATACAATGAAATATTATTCAGCAATAAAGAGGAATGAAGCACTAACATGTGCTACAACATAGATGACCTTGAAGGCACTATGCTAAATGAAAGGCGGTTATGAAGAACCACATTTTATACGAATCTATTTACATGAAATTTCCAGAATGAGCAAATTCATAAAAACAAAAAGTAGATAATAGGGTAAGGAGGGGTGGGTGAGGCTGGGAGGTAGGTGAACTTCTAAAGGACCTGGGAGGGTTTTCTTTTTGTGGTGATGAAAATGCTCTAACATTGACTGTGGGGACTGCTGCACAGTTCTACAAATACACTCAAAATCACTGAATTGTGCACTTTAAATGGATGAATTGTATGGTATGTGAATTACCTCTGAACAAACTGCTAACCCCAAAAATAAATGAATGTATGAATACAATGGTACAATGGAGCTTAAATTCTAAGAAAATGTTATTTTCTTTCTTTCAATTCAGCTGAAATGAAATATAACAATGAAAAATTTTGAGATAGAAAATACAAATATATTTTCTATAAAAACATGCTGCTTTCATGTAGAACTATTTGTGAAACGTTAAGAGGGTTAGTTTCATGATCGACACTTCAAACGAAAATTCAAGAATTATTTCCATTTCAAATATACCAATAATTCAATTTCTACAGATTCAGAAATAGCAAATCCTTCAAGTGAGAAATATATCTATTAAATTAGTGCTCAGGGGTCCTTACTTGTTGGTATTCTGTCTTTCTAAGATGTTCCAAAGCTTGTTTTACACGTTTAAAAGTGTCTAATTCTTTTGTTAATATTTCCTTCTGTTTAGAAATCTTCTTCAAATTGGATGCAAAAAGATTAGCCTGACAAAATATAAGAACCACATACCCATTTTAAGATACAGCATTTAAAAAAATCTAAAAAGATACAGCATTAAGACACTCTAAAATACAACAATGCTATTATCAAAGAATACTTTATCTTAGTAACAAAATCATTTTTCATATAGTAAATTTTGCCAAGCTTATTAATAGTAAAGTACATCGTACATTAAAGTAATGAAATCAAAATAAGGGCTTAAGCCCCGAAGTGTTTCAGGCATTTATTTTAATAAAACTAATAGAATACAATCTATTTTTGTCTCTAACTCAACTTCAGTACACCGAAATTTTAGAATACAGGTTTCTATTCCATACAAAACTACAGAAAATAGATATAATTTCCTCTCTTAGAATATTTGTTTAAATTCCCTCTTGAAATAGTTGACTCTCTAGTTCAATTTTAGATAAGTTAAGCACCAAGGTTAGCCTCTTAACAAGTGCATGCCTGAGATTATCGCTGAAGAAAAGAATTGCAGCTAATGACATAGGAGACTGATAAACCTGCAATTTTTTAATATCAAATACCAGTATGTGAGCATAACTATGTTAAGATACAAAACTGCAGTTAATGCATTCTGAATATTATGCTAGCTGTCTATTTTATTAGATGTTCATAAGTCAGGTACTCACATTTTCAAAACTAATCTCTTCAACGGTATCCTTAAATAATGGCAAAAATAATTCTACAGAACAGGTTGCCAACTCAGCTTCCTTAAATGTTGCTTCCAGATCAGTCTTTTCATTTAGGATGTCCTGCTTTAGACTAATTAGATACGCACAAATAAAATTTAAGTTAAATCTGTCACATAAACTAGTTATACTTTTTATGCAAATATAGCACAGCGTAACTAAATATTACAGTTCCACAAATTGCTCTCCAAAATATAACAGTAAATGGCCACTGAAAATGTATGAAATTTTTCCTATACTCCCCTATTTTTCTATACTTAATATACACAGAAAGTTTTTAAAACATTTAGATATGTAAAACACAAAAACCACCAACAGCAATGCTTCACTGTGCTACTTGTAATTGTTCAACATCTCTTTTCTGGTTTGTAAAACGATTTGTGTGAATGTGTTTATGTCTTTTTTACTTCCCTTTCTACTCCCTACTCCAAACCCAAAAGATTTGTCTTTCTAGACCTCATTCCCAAATGCTTTCTTGAAACTTGCTGTTCTTCACAAAAAAAATTCCTCCAGAAGAACAAATAAGCTAAACAAACGGAACACAAAAAACTAAAGCTCTCCATATCGCAAAAATCCTTCACACTTGACTTTATAATACATTATCATCAATCAAAACAAAACTATTAATATTTGCCTTCTTGATTACCTAGACACTACTGTGTATCACTGTAAGAGACATCTCTTTGGTTACATTTTTACATCCTGAAATCAGGATGCTTCTTGTAATCTTTGTTAAGAAGCAGTCTTGAGCTCTTTCCTGCACATGCCCAGAACTAAAAGTGTCAAATGCTTTCAAGAATTCCCCAGAGATGGGGTGTAGCACTTTTTAACCCCCCTAGGAATGGACGGCCATAGAGGGGTTGAAGGAGCTGGTGAACTAGGAATGTTTAGCAACATTCCAGAAGCAAGACTCCAATATAGGCTTGCATGATATTGTAAGAGCCCAGCACAGATAAGTTTTAGTTCAGTTAAAGATGGTCCTAAGAAATGCCACATCACCAATACTCTTAATAGCAAGGACAACTCTGAGTCCAAAAGTTGGATTTTGAGTATAAAATATTTTATAAAAAAATTTTGAGAATACCCTACTTTATTTCACTTACATTTTATTTATTTTTATTTTTTAAAAGCATAGTTATTTGAAGTCAAAAATCTATGTATAATTAAGTTTGAAGGAGCTTTTTCAATATTTATAAATAAAATAAATCATAAGAGAGCATCGTATCTTTCTTTAATAGGCAACTTTTTTTCTTTCTTTACAAAACATAATATAATGGCTCATCAACAACTGATGGGATCTTAGAGGCTATGTCAGAAAGCAGACTGTGTTCTTAATTACTGCTGGCTTAACGTGATGGGTATAAGATGTTGGCTATAAATGACAGTTGTCCATTATTAAAAACCATGGGCAGAAGAAAGTCAAGAATGGTTATATATGACCAAATATCACTGTCATTTACAACAAGCTAAATAGAAGCTGGACTATACTATCAAGGGTGACAATAATGGTGTTTTGAGGCTGTCATTTTGGGGGGCCCATGGGTGGCTCAGTTGGTTGTCTACCTTCAGCTCAGGCCATGGTCCCAGGGTCGTGGGATCAAGCCCGGCATCGGGCTCCCTGCTCAGCGGGGAGCCTGCTGCTCCTCCTGCTTATGTCCTTTCTCTCTCTCTCAAATAAATAAATAAAATCTTAAAAAAAAAAAAGACTGTCATCTTGGTAAGCAATGGAGTCATATAAATAGCAAGTGTATTCCCTATTTTTTTTTAGATTTTATTTATTTGGGGGGAGGGGCAAAGGGAGAGGGAAAGAGAAAATCTCAAGCTGACTCCCCACTGAGCATGGAGCCCAATGTGGGGCTCAATGCCACGACTCTGAGATCATGACCTGACTGAAATCAAGAGCTGAACACTCAACCAACTGAACCACTCAGGCACCCCGTGTATTCCTTATTCTATGGGAAATAGCAAAATATGACAGGTATTTGTTATATAGCAATGTTCCAAATGACAGTGAATTAGTACTCATCAACTACATTTCCAACATTCCATAGTATTTCTATTTTCATTTATCTTAGCTATAAGGCTTAATACTTTAATAATTCTCAATAGATAAGGCTTTCATTTTTATTTGCTTTCATTAAGATTTCAAAAACCTAGCCCAATTCTGCTAAATGAGTACTGATTTGTAATCAGGATAAATAAATATATGAATTGCTAAATTTGAAGAAGATACTCTTGAAAGAATGCTGTATTTGATTCAAATAATTTACAGTATGGACAAAACATGAAATGTTGAAATCAGAAAATTAGATATCCCCTGCTATTATTGAGAATACCAGCTGCGATGACTTTCACTGGCAGCCTGTGGTAAATGTTCGTCCTCTGGTGTACTTGTAAAATGAGAACATAGTTTCTCTGAATGACTTCCATCAATTGAAGGTTTCTCCATAAATTTGGTAAATGGATTTGTAGGTGGCTTCCACAACAACTTTTCTTCATAAGCTGAAAGCTAGGAAATATTTTAGTTATTAAACTTAACTCAGTAGGTTCTTTTTTCTGTCATTATATACAATAAAATCCTAAACATGTGTAAAGAATAATATTTTACAGACAAAATAGAAATTATAACTGCTACTCATTTGTGATACTAATTCAAAAAGTGTCAAAATTGCATTGCCCAAGCATTCAACAATTGCCAATTCCATACACTTTCCAAAAGGCCTGTTATTTTCTACATAAGAAAGAATTTTCTACACAAGAATGTAAAATTTTTATTAATCTATTTCTTGAAGTATTATAGTATCTTAATCCAGTCAACTAGAAAATAAATATAAAAACTATGGTAACTCTGGTCCTTAGTGTCATTATATCTACCCAATAGGAAATGTATGTTATGTATGCCTAGAATAGAAATTTCATATCTTTTCGAAGTATTTGGCAACAATAGCTACAAAAAGATTTATTCTTTTGAAAGTAGACCTTACAAAATTAAATTAATTTATTCCTATTTCCCAGCTCAATCTAGGATATTCTTTGGTGTTAACAGACAGTTACTTCTAAGTTTTACTAAACAACTGTTTTCACTCAAACTCAGAGGTGTCATTTTTTAAACAGGAATATTCATGAATTTCTTCAGAACTGTTCCATTTTAAGTAATAAATTAGTGCTTTAGCAATCATTAAGGCTGTGTTTTCACAACTCTAATATATGGTAATGTGTCTCCCTGACTTCATTTTATATTTATACAAAATCAAATGTTATATTTAAGATCTTCAGCGTTTTTCCTCTTTGTAATTTATTTTTATAAACCTGTATTTTACAATACATTTGGTCAAGAATTTTCAATACTTTAAGTAGATGTGAAGAAATTATAAGTTGAAAATTACTTGTATTTCTAAATGACACTTTGAAAGTGTCTGTAAAAATACATCTATTTTTGTCTGAAGGTTCCATACACTACAGAAACAAATATTTAGGACATAGCCCAAAGAAATGCATGCCAACATTTTTGAAATACCAACAACTCATGTACAAATGGAACTGCTAATTAACCTATAGATATCTAAGATGATCTACTTGAATGCTGAAATATGAAACATGTTAGTAAGACATAACAGTATTTTGAGCTATTTGAAGTCTTAAAGAATTAAAGAAGAATTAAAAATAGATGGATACAAAAAATCAAATGAAAAACCAAACCTAAGAGTGAAGAAGAACATGATCTAGATATATCACTGCAATCAACAGTACTATCATCTACCGATCTGTTTGGTTCCAATAGCTACCCCACTCACAGAGGAACTGGTATTTACCTTTCATTCATCCACATGTTGAAAATTCCTTGCTCTGCACACTGGAATCTCAAGAAAGAATACCTTATTTACATTTGAATCCTTAGCATCTACAAGCCTTATAAAAGCTAAGCAGTAATTGAAGGAGAGGACTCAAGGCTTAGAGCAGTTAATGTGATGAATAAAGGCAGTTGCTTTTTACTTATTCACTTCACTGATTCATCTTTTGGGGGAATCATTAAAAGAAAAATGTTTCTTATATTTTGAATAAAAATTCAAAAATAAATGTAAGAGGATTAGGGATCTTCAATTGGTAGGCATATTTTATAAGATTCAGTTTGGTATTAGTATTTTAAATGAGTGCTTACTTGGCTCTGTGGGCTATTGGCAGCTATTTATACAATTTTTCTAAAAGTTTTATCACAAGATGAAATACATTTTTCTGCTTCATCGCCTGTAAAAAGTAACTGTGCCTTATCTTAGAGGGTAAACAAAATTAACACATTGTAAAAACAGAGATGTTAGAATGACTCTTAGCCCAACATTCAAAAATGTTATCTTCATTACTGATTCTCAAAACAGAGAGAACTATGTAAGTCAAGTCTCAGATATATCCATAGAAATTATCAACAATTATATTCTTACAATCTAGAAATATTTTCCAGGATAAAAATTGTTCAAAGGTTCCAAGGCACTGCACTATTTTTGTGTTGTGACAATACTATAACCAAAAACATATGTGTGCTGAACAATTTTTTTTTAGCATAAAAAGTCCTACCTTTATAAAAAATGCTATCATTTTAGTGAGCCAAATGTATTCCTCTACGGAAAAGATGTTTCGCAAGAAAATGTTTTCAATTACATGGAATATACTGCCAATTGACAAATATACTTCTGTACAACTTGGTGGTGAAACAAAGACACATATTCTGCACACATATTTAATAACCAAACCCCTAAAGATTAGCAATTTAAATATATTTTAATGTTTAAGGAATTAAAGTTCCTATACAGAGATGACTTTACCAGTCCCCTATCAAAAAGGCATGTACTTAAAGCTTTTTCCAGGCGTGGTCATGGTTTACACGGACCCAGCTACACTCACTAAAGTATGTTCCATTTGGCCAACAACAAGCATTTGAGGGATGGCTGTTCAGGGACTATAATGCTGGCCATGGTCAGAGAAAAGAAAGATCCCAGTTCATGCCCTTCCTTAGCATCTAGATTGCTCTAAGTAAACAAACCAGCTGCAAATATATATTTAAAACTAATCTCTCCAAAGAGATTGAAATCTCACAGATTTCAATCTGTTTTGCCAAACATTCATTCTTGGAAAACGAGCTCCCACTGGCTTCAAACAAAAGCACACAACTTCTCCTGAAAAATTCACTGAAACATTCAGCAAAGAACACAAAGTAGATATAGGAATGCTTCTCATCTCTCTCACTATTCTTCACACTAGTCAAAGTTTACTAAAGAATTGTAGAGTCCTGCAAAACAAATCTGAGTATGACAAAAAGAAAGAGAAAAAGGCATTCTAGGTACAGGGTCAAGTACAAGCAAGAGGAAGGAATCATGAAAGGACATGATTTGCAAGGGCAAGTGGCAAAGGATGAAACTGGACACAATGAAGTGGTCACTGTATGCCAAGCTCAAAAGCTTGACTTGTTTCCTAAAGGTTAAGACAGACCATTAAATCATTTTAAGCAGGATAATAACAGATCAAAAGTGTATCTTTAAAAGATAAATTTAGTGGTATTTTGGAGAATGGACCAGGTATATGGAGGGGAGAAGAGTAGAAGTAGTGAAACCGGTTATTAGGGTCCCAGAGAAATGAAATTCCAGCATTGTTTTCCTAGAAAAAATTTTGAAGAAATCAAAAGTTGTTTCCACTGGTGATTAAAAAAAAAAAAAAAACTTGAAAAACAATGAAGGAATTAGAATAGCAAGATATTCAGTACTGAAAGTGACCAAATATAACACTTCATTTACCCATGACCATCTGAATGGATTGCTCCACATACCTGTTCCAGAAAATGACAGCTTATCCCTTTAAGTAGCAAAATTCACTTGCGGGCTTGAAGAAAACCTCCTGAAAGTATTATTTCTTCTTTCTCAAACACAGTATAGGTAGCCTGAACATAATTTAACCATTCACTTCTTGATGACCCAGAGGCAGCATATTAAAATGAAATACTGGGCCAGACTCACCTGTTCTTAGTCCTTAGAGCCACCTGACATGGACAACTCTTAGCCACAGCAGGCCTTAGTTGCCTCTTCTACATAATGAGAAATAAACTTTGCCAGCCAAAGCTGTGGGGAGGTTTGAACAGAATGAAGTATCACTTACAGGTGGGGTTTTTTGTTTGTTTGAATGTGTGTTTTTTTTTTTTTAATTTAGGGTCCCTTTGGCTCATTGTTGAGGTTGCTTTCCCACCAGGTCTTTTCTTTAAATTTTTTCATCTTGAAAAAAAAATCATACTGAGTCAATCACTATTCCTTAAAATATTTGCAGGCGTGAGTTATCTGTATAAAACCAACTTTTCGAAACAATTCTTTCAAGATCTGTTCCTTACAGAATCATTACAAATCATCTACAAAGTGGTCATAAATTGAGTACTACTAAACCAGAACCCACGGGAAAACAACTGACTTCCAAAAGAATTGAGTTTAGTGGGTAGATGTTATGTCAACCTCATTGCTATACTCAGCTCCTTGGGTCTCATTCATTTGTACAATATAAACAAAGCCACTTTCTCATACCTTTGGGTTTTTTGGGTACAAAAACCATATTATTTATACACATCAACCGTGAAAGTAGAAGAAAGAGAGGCAGAAAATGGATACCTAGCTGTTACAGAATTAGGAACATGACCATGACATTCTTATTCTAAGCAGAAGGAAAGCAAACTAATTTTAAAAACAGGTTTTCTGTGGTTTGTTCCTTTAGCCAAGTAGTGTTCAAAACTACTCCAAGAACCTCATTAATTCAAAAACACCTGAAACCTTACTATGGGCGAGGTGACAGGGAAACTTTGTCTCCGAAATATACATCCTAAATACCAGCCCCAGTGTGGCTATGGTTTTCTCAATCAACAAGCACCCTTACTACCTATACTCAAAACCTGACACTGGTTTACTTAATCTCTTTTATTACAACCACTCCAAAATGACTATTATTGCCCTCGTTTTCCAGATAAGGAAACTGAAGCCAGGAAAGTTAAGTGACCGGTCCAAGGCCACACACTTGAAGGAGTTTCCTATTGAGTCTGGAAACCTAGGAGGAACCTGGAGGACTTAATTTCCCAGGCCTCCGACAGTATTCTTCACTAAAGGAGCCCCAGGGCCTACCACAATCGGGTATATTATATGGTGGTCGCTTAAAAAGCCAGCCAAATGAGTAAGAGGAATTGTTTCCGAAGGAAACGCCGCCATGCCCGGGTCGGCTGGATACGGGCTTAGTTCTGGAAAGCCCATCAACTATGATCTACCCTGGGGTCCTGGGGACCACACCCTCCCTAGGAATACGAGCCTCGCTGTCTTTTTCCCAGGCCAGGCAGTCAATTCTAGGGGAAGTGGCAGGTATGCGCAGAAAGCGGCTGAGGTCTAGTTCCGGGTGGACGTGAAGGCCTTTCACTTCCGGGACCCAATACAGCCCCGACCACCCGAACCCCTAAGCGCGTCTGCGGTAACCGCAAGGAAACGGTCCGACCCCAAGCTTCCCCGCCTCCCAAAAGCGTGCCTACGCCCCGACCGCTGCGTTAACACGCCGCCGTGACGTCAGCCCGCCGCCGCTCCGCTAAGGAAGGGGTCCAAAGGGGCCGCAAAGATGACGCTCAGCGAACGTTGGTGGAAACCACCGCCAGCGTACCTGTGCTCTCCAGCCCTGCGTCGGCTAGGAGAGAGCGGGACGCAGGGGGCAGTGCCGCAGGCGAAAGCTAGAAAGGAAGCCAAAGGACGCGAGGTGGCAGGGAGGCGAATATCTAGAACTGCTTGCGGTGGAAGAGTGCCCGGCCAGGTGCAAGACGGACGAAAATAGAGCTAGTAACCATCAAGTGGCTTCTCTGGCAACGGCCGCCCCGCCCCTTCCGTCGAGCCATAGCCGACGCAGCTGATTGGCCGGGCTGGGGAAAGCAAGGGCCGGCGTCTGTTGCTATTGGCGGGAATCAGGGGGCGGGGCCGGGGAGAGGCTCTTTGTCTCTCAGTTGCTGCTCTGGGTGAACTTTTCCCGCCCGCCCTTCAAACTTTTTGTTTTACGGAAGAGGCCTTTTGTGTGTAGTTACCAAAAATCTTAATTGAGCTCAACCTAGAAAGAGAAATAAGACCGATAGAGTATGAATTTTCTGATAGTTGGCCTGGAAGTGCCCTGCCTTTGCTTTTTTAAAGGAGACATTTGAAAAGGCCCAAACAACCGCGACACAAGGAACTTTGTTTTAAATATATAGTATTGCTGTTTAGCTGGGATCTTCCCTAGGCCTCCTTACTTCTGTTAAATTAGGGAGCTGGACGGTGATCTCCAAGGCGCCTTTCAGATTTCAAATTCTTTGCATCTGTACTATAGCCAGCTAGTATGATTTATACACTCTTGAACAAGCAAGGCAAGATTTTATTTGGAAAAGTAAAAAACTATCCACCTCAACTTAATATTCGTGTTAAGAATTGTACACCATAATGTGAAATTTGCAAATAGAGCAATTGTCAACTGAGCAGTTTAGCCATTACATGGCATGCCTCATTACTGATTTTACTAAAGAACATATTCAGTTGATGATTATAGCAAAGATTTTTTTTCCCAGTGCTGATTGTCCAGCAAAAAGTTCATGGCAGTTAAAAGTTCATTCATAACGAACATATAACTGTTCCATATATGCAAATACTAAAAAGCAGTGGGAACTGATCCATCTCTTACTGATGAATCATGACCTCTGGCAAGTCAACTAACTTCACTACTCTGGGCTAGTCTTCCCCTCCTTTAAGAAAAAAAGGGGGGGGGAGGGGGAGGTGGACGTGTGGAACTGGGGCAGGGAAAGTAATTTTGAGGGTCCTTCCAGCACTTACCTGGGATTCTAGCTAAACTTACTAGCTTGTCATAATAAGAAAATTAATTGTACACAAAATTAGGCTTCTCTTATGAAAAATACTTAAATTGCATCAGTGTTAGATATTGTATGTCTTTAAAAGACATACAAAGGGAAAAACAGTCACAAAATTTCAAGATGATTATATTAGATTCTCAAATTGACTATTTGAACTGAACTATCCAGGTAAATATGGCATCTCTTCTAAATCTAATCTGTTCTAATCTAAATCTGAAATCTGGTTGGATAATGAATTTTTGGATAGATCCCTTATTTTGTATTATTTAAATGGAAAAAAAATTCATCCAGCCCAACCAAAAATGCCAATTTCCCCAAATATCATTAAATACTTGACTACCTATGAAATAATACATCAAGGATTTCCTCATAATTTAAAGCAGAGGCCAACATACTTTTTCTGTAGAAGTCCACATAGTAAATATTTTAGATTTGGTGGATTATACAGTCTCTGCCATATTTAACTCTGCCATTGATGAATAAAAGATGCCATAGAGGATACATAAACACATGGCTTGGCTGTGTTCCCATTAAATTTTATTTAAAAAAATAGATACCAGGATAGATTTGGCCCACAGGATAGAGTGTGCAGACCTCTGATATAAAGCATTTAAAACAAGTACCTCATAAGTATTAAACTCATTTATGGTACATTTGTGTGTAGCAGATGCAAGATGCAATGGTGGGTGGTAATTTTGTTTTCCTTCCTCGTGGGAACAAATATATACTGTAATTGTAAAAGTGGCAAACAATGAAATAGTGGTTTAAAGATACTTGATGGAAGCAAATAAAATTTAGCAAAATAAAGCAATTTAAAAAAATAGTTTGGTTGTGTAATAAATTATTTTCATAGGGTTTATCCCCCACTCTGAGTTGCATGTGTTCTTTCCAACATGTTTTGGTTTTCTTTTGCTGTTTTAACAAACTTAGTGGGTTAAAACAACAACGATTTTATTTGTTCATGATTCTGTGGTGAGAAATTCAGGCAGGGTTCAGCTGGGTGGGTTTTTTCCTCCATGTGGCAATAGGTGGTGTCTCTCATCAAGTTGCAACCAGATAGCTGTTGAGGCTGGAATATCCAAAATTATATGTTTGGTGACTAGGTGGGCTCAACTGGAAGGCTAAGGCCTCTTTCATCCTATCCATGTAGCTCTGCATGTGGCCAACTTGAACTTTTTTTCATGGCAGGTGCGTTCCAAGAGTGAGTGTCCTAGGTAGCAAAGGAAGAAACTGCAGATCTAAGGCTACACAAGTTACACAGAACCACTTCCACTGCATTTTGCTATCTAAAATATATCAGAGAGCCAGCCCAAATACAAGAGAGAAAGTAAAAGATTCCACCTCTTGATGGGACAGTGTCAAAGTCACATTGAGTCTATGGACACAATTTGCTACACAAGGCAATAAGGTATGTGCTATTTCCTGATCATCAGGTTCTGCCAGCACAATACAATAAATGCAGTAGACAAAAGCAATGCCCCAAAAGGTAATGAAATGATCATGGTCTCTGCACACTATAGTATGACAGAGAACTAAAGACCTAACATAGCTCTTATGTAAAGCAATAAATTCTCTCACGTTCTCTCACTTCCAGATAAAAATCAAACAACTTCAGCTATTCTACATATATTAGGGTGAATAAAAGACATTTGTCAGAGCAATATCTGCATACTAGATGCTAGGAATTGTACTTATTCACCTAATAAAAAGACTACATCTGGATCAACATTTTGGATGACCCATTCATCTTCTACCCAGGCCAAATAGAAGGTTAAATGGGAGTGTGGTCAGAATCACCACACCTGCATCTTTCAAGTCTTTGATGGTGGCATTAATCACTAGAATTCCCCTAGAAATATGGTATGGGACTTAGGTTAACTTTTTCAGTAGAAAAGAGCCATTCCAGGGCCTACCAATTGACCCTCTTATTATAATAGCCATGAATTAAGAAGCAATGTCGAGATGCTGTAAATCTCCATTAAGGTGATGAAGTTCAGATCTCTCTTCATCAGATCTAGCAATTTTTCATTATTATAGATCAAGTAAGATCTTAGTAGGCTGTCCATCCATTTCAATTACAGGGACACCATAATCACTTTCACACTGCTAAAGATCCCTCCCAGTCAGACAACTATGATTACTGCTCTGGCCCCGGGGCCTATTATGGTAACCACTGCTATCTCATCCCAGTTGGTTAAGCGCTGTCAGTTGGCCTCTGCCACTTTGATATCCTATTATTTCCATTAGGGAATTAGAGATCCTATTCAATTGCAGCATCTCCTAACTTCATTCCTGGGCTTAGAGGACAACAGCTTCCTCTCCCTCCCAATATTTTCTCAATGCATTAGTGAAGAGAAGGTCCTCTAGGCCTTCTCAGGATACAATTGGAGATAGGTGACTGAGTCACACATGATAAATCCATTCTAATATCCTATCTCCCTAAGTATATAGAGAATACAGAGGCCACTAGCCACCTATGGCTACTGAACATTTAAAATGTGAGTAGTCTTAACTGAGACATGTTGTAAGGGCAAAACAAACACTGAAATTGCATATGAAAAAAAGGACAAAATATCTCAATTTTATAATAATCATTTATTGAAATGATAATATTTTAGGTATGTTGAGTTAAATAAGATATATTATTAAAATTTAAATTTAGCTCTTTTTTTACAGTTTTTACTTTTGCTACTAAAAAAATAAAATTGTGTATATGGCTCACATTCTATTTCTAGCACCGGATGGTGCTAGTCTAGAGATATAAAGAAGTGATAGCAGTGAGTTATTAAGAGAATCGGGAACTCCTCACAAGGTAAATTCCTCAGGTGAAGTCACTTCAGAATTTTCAAAGAAGACAAGACCAGCCTTATAAGGAAGAGAAGGAAGACTTCTTCAGAAAGCAAAGAGCTCTGTAGGGTCTATCAAGATGATAGAATTATGCAAGTCACCCAAACAAGTCCATTACGATTCTCAAGATCCAACTTCTCAATCAATGTCTTAATTTTTACCTGAAAGACCTGGCGAGTCTGTTTATTCAACTTACCTTGTAGTTTAGCCTTTCACAGCATTAATCCTTGATTTGGATGTGTCATTCTAGCAACTCATAGAGATACATTTTTCCGGCAATCATAGAAGCTCTCCGGACCTCTAAGCTTATCACATTTTTCTTTAAGCACCCCAGTATAGTTATAAATAGCAAACACACCCCTCCATCTTTTATTCTTTTTTCTGCCATTCCCATCAAAGACTTCCTTCAATAACTACTTAATTCCTGAAGGCTACAGGCCACTTTTAAATTGAGGTATAATTTACATTCAATAAAGTGCACAGATATTAAATGTTCAGAATATGAGTTTTGACAGTTATACACACCCACAAAGCTACTACCTAAAACAAGACCTAGAACATTTACATGAACCCAGGAAGTTTATTGCATTTCTCTCCAGTCCATTAACCAAAACTACCTTCACCCCTCAGACATGCACTCTCCAAGACAACCACTTTCTAATTTCTGTCATTAGAGATAAATGTGCTGATTCTTGATCTTCATATAAATGCAGTCATACAATATATATTCCTTTGCATCTGTCTCCCTTCACTCAATATTTATGTTTTTTAGATCCACTTATGTTGTTGCATATTTTAGTAGTTTGTTCTTTTTTTGTGGAGTGGTATTGTTCAGTTATCTGAATATATCACAAATTATCAATTCTCCTGTTGATATTTACTTGTTTGCAGTATTGGGTTATCATGAATAAGGCTGCTATGTACATTCTTGTAAAAGGCATTTTTACAAAAAAGATTTATTTATTTATTTATTTGAGAGCGAGTGAGTGAGCGAGACAGAGAGAGAACACACAAGCAGGGAGGAGGGGCAGAGAGAGAGGGAGAAGCAGATCCCCTCCCACCCCCGTACTGAGCAGGGAGCCTGACACGGGGC